ACCAATTGTTCTAATGTATTCTTCTTTTGGCTGAAAAACACCTTTTTGAGTTTTTAATAATGTACTTTTACCAGTATGTGTTGCGCCTACCAAACAAGCTCTGAACATGTAAATTGGAAAACTCATTAAATGCATTTATAGTTTGTTTTATAAATTTGTTTTTTTTTATAAAACATCTGATTAAAATCACAGTTTGAATATTTAAGAATTATTAAAATTCTTAGTATTTGTTAATAAAATATAAATTCAATAGTTATAAAAATAAATAATTATCACATTCATTTTTTATTTTTTTTTCAAAAACCATAAAAATGTTTATTTTGTTTTTTCTTTATAAAACCACTGTAAACCTGTTTCATTTTTATAGGGATATTTTGACACACAATATCTTATTCAAAAATATTACAACAACAGAGACATAATCCTCAAGATTTGAACAAAAAATAACGAAAAAATAAATTGATTGCCATTTTGGAATTAATTTAAATTGTTAGCACTTTTCCTGTTGCCAATATTTATATTCCAATAATACACAAACAATTATTTTTACTTAAGTTCAAGATCGTAATTCATTCTTAATTTTTGTAATTATTTACAAACTATAAACAAATTGAAAGGTTTCAACAATGGTTAAACAACATTTTTGAATTTTAGTTTCATTTTAATGTTGTTGCAATGTGAAATAAATAAGGTTCGATTTTTGTCAACCGTTATCTTTTCGACAAACACTCCGTCGTCGCTCAACAAAATATTGTTATCATTGTGAACAATTCATATTTTTTACGATTTTATTCTTTGTTTATCAGTTTTTATTATTATTATAAATATAATTTTTATAATAACATCTTATGATTTTGTTATAAATCATAATATTATAACCATTGTAACCAATAGCAAGTTTAAATTTGCCTCTCGACTTTTTATGCGTCTTTATGTCATTTAATTTTCTTTACTCGGTCGACTCAATGTTGTTTTTTTTTCTTAAACAAAGAACCCACCCCAAGGTAGAAAAAAATGTCAATAAAACATGTACACAAACGAATTGTAAAACGTGTTTTTCAAACTTTTTTTAACAATGAACATATACTCAGTTTCCATAGAGTCAATGTAAACTTTTGACAATGATAAAAGTTAAAGAACTATCCCCAATATCATCTTAATTGTTTACATACTATTATTCTAATATACATGATATATCATATTTAAATTGTTTATTCATTTTTATTTCTTATATTTCTCAAAAATTAAGAGCAATTATATATTTCTTTATAATTTCTCCATAATCTTTGAAAATGTATACAGTTAGCCGAATCAACCTTCTGCAACGAATCAGCCTTCTGCAGATTGTTTTTCAAAAATAACCATAAATAATAACAATTTAAACCATTTTAATAGTATTTTTTCAACTTCAAATAAATATATTTTTATCCACAGGATTTTATTAATACACCTTCTGCAGTATATAATTGGTCTTATAAATATCAAAAAGTGAAAAAATAAAACCAAACTAAAAACGAACAGTACTCAGTTAACAAACAAATTACATAGACACTGAGCCAGACAACATTCTCGTGTTTTCAATTAATTTTAGTAACAAGGTGATAGCAAAATTGACGGACTTTAGAGATGTAAATGTATGATGACCAACATTGCATTTACTTAAAAGGTTGGTACACCAACATACATGGCGCCTAATGTGTTAAACATAGAGAAGAAATGCAGATATCTTTTCTTTTGGCGTTACGTTATTCGAATGTGTAATGTGGAAAGACCCATTCCAAAGGAACGGTTTATGTTTGGATGAATATCGTCAACTTTTTTGAAACTGAGAAAGTGCCAAATA